CGCGCCTGGCGCACATATAGCTAGGCCTGCGGCGCTGATACCCGAGACGAGTTAAGGAGAGGGTACAGGGGAACGGGGTCTTCCGGGCCCAAAATTTGACATACTCGAACCATTTGTCGGGGTCTTCTTACTCTTAAATTAGGGACAACAAACTGCTGTTCGGTAACGGTTTTCATTAAAAAATCGGATTTTGTCAGATTGTTAGGTAAAAATCAACGTTTTAGTGATCTAGGGACCCTGAAGCCCTAAAGAGGGTGTGGTCGAAGTACAGTACTACTCCTTTTACAATTCTGTGACATGAAGCCTTTTTTACGATTTAATAGACCATTTTGTCTTTTTCACGTTGTTTTCGCCAAGAAATGCGCCATAGCGTCGAAACGGTACTAGAAAGAGCAAAACGGATGAAATTTTCGCCCAGAGGGCTCTACTTTCACGAGTTACCCATTAGGAGACCATAAAAAAATATTTGGAAAAAAAATATTTTGTTGCCTGTGGTTTTTGATTTTTTAAAAAGTCAATTTTTGAGCTAGAGTGCTCATCTTCGAACTCGATCTGTCTTTTTATGAAACAAAACGACCCTGAAATTCCCAGATCGATATCTCAATTCTTTCTCGAGTTATCGTGCGTACAGACGGACAAACAGACAAACAAACGGACAGAATGAAACTTTTCCGGTCAGTAGAGTAATGGGCTTCGCTAATCGCTCAGCCAACAAAAGTGCCAAGGGAAGGGACACACTTAATTTTTTTAAAAAAAAAATGGAAGTTTATCCGTAAATTGCTGTAAACGGGGATGATGATGAAGCACGAAGCTTCTTGTCTGCTCTGTCGTCCAGTTGAGCATCTCTCTCTCTCTCTCTCTCTCTCTCTCTCTCTCTCTCTCTCTCTCTCTCTCTGTCTCTCTATCTCTCTGTCTCTCTCTTTCTTCTCTCTCTCTCTCTCTCTTTCTCACTCACTCCCTCTCCCTCTAACACACACACGCTCACTCACGCTGGGTTCAACTAAAGTTTCCTCAGTCTCGGGTTGTCCGGCCCCGCCGGTTGCCACCCGGTCACGCGAGTGCGATTCAGTTACGCTTCTTTTTTCATCCTCCTCCAACTCTCCACCTCCTTTGTCTGCTTCCTGGATCCCAAGACGTGCGTCGCCGTAGAAATGCTGTGCGGGAGTCTTATTCCTTTGTTTTTTTTAAATTTTATCGCTTTGCTTCCTTGGAGCTTCAGTGCGCCGCTGCGTGTGCACCTGACCAGCCGGTTCTCCGGCGAACAAAAGCATCGCGCAAAACCCCACCGCCGTCAGGTATTTCGGTTGTTTGTCGTTGCTGTTGTTTTTTTGCCGTCGTATCGTCGTTCAAAATTGAACACGCACGGCACGAAGAGATGGGCCTCTCATTTTCCCGCCCAATGCAGCCGGCCAAACCACTTCCCTTTCAAATCGTTCCCCTCCCCTTACCCTGACGGCTACGACGCGCCACGCCGCGCGACGCCACGCCCCGACAGAGACCGGCCTCCAATGTCAATGTCGCGGCCAGACTGGGACGTTTTCACCCAACCGGTGCATCGTTAGCGCCGGCCACTAAAACTACCGTACCGCACCACTACTCTGCTCCAAAACTTATGTCCTTTCCTGTGGGATGACAACGCTTTTTTTATTTTTTATTTTATTCCTTCCGTGTTTTACCCTTTCCGTTTTATTGAAGTAAGTGAAAAAACTGAAACGATGCTTTCAAAATTTTTAGTTTAATTAAACTCAATTTTGTACTCACTTGCGCCCACCACAAAACGAGTACTGTCATTCGCGTTTGATTGGCTTGATCAGTGACCATACTCATCCATTTCAAAACGGGAGTGATTAATTGAAGTATCCGGAAATAAATGATGCCTTTGCGTTAGCGAGATACCTGGGTCCGGGACGCAGTCCGGGAGCCGGGGAAGAAAGAGACAACGTTGAACGGAGCGCACCTCTGGAAGCGCCCGGGCGAGCGAGGGTAGACAACGCAGCGCTGCACTCGTGGCCGGCTCGGTGGCCTACCCGGGGGACCGCAGGCGCCCCAGCATAAGCAAGCGGCAGGCAAACAGGCAAGCGGGACGGCCCCTAGCGGGCAACCAGGCAAGCGCTAGGGATTTTAATTTCCCAAAACAGGGCAAGAATATATTTTTTAAATCTCGTAATTTTTTTCCACTTTAAAAAAAAAATTCCTTTTTCCTGGAAAAATGTTCAAGTTTTCCGGAGAAATTGTAGACTTTAAAAACCCCCACAAACGCCACAGGCAACCTACGCGAACATAGGCACACGTGCACAAGACACACCCAGAAAAATCCTTTCTTGGTTAAAGTATATGTCACTGGTAATTGTGCCAACGAACGTATGTCCAAAAAAATCGAGTCGATTGAATTTCGGTCTATTTTGAGAATATATAGTTTTCGTGACAAAATACCTTTAAATAAAAAAGTTGATTTTTTTGGACATACGTTCATTGAGACGATTAACAGTGAATGTGTACTCGGCTTAGCACAAGTAAGTACAATTTTTCACTTTGACGAATGCAAAAATGTTATTCAAAAGCACAAGATACTTATAAATGATCTTGTACTTGAACGATTTCCTTATTCGTAGAGGAGTGATCTTATTTTAGCATTGTTTCAAGAGAAAATTGATCTTGTGCAAACCTGAGTACAAATTTCAGTATTTGAATTAAGAAAGGATTTTTCTAGGTGCATATCATGCGTGCTCTGTTGATTTAAACCAACACTGCCTCCATAAATGTGCGCTTGCAAGTTGTTCAGCAAGACATTTGTGCATGCACTTGCAAGTAGGTGTAAAAAGTCGTGTCAAACAACTTTGCTTGTGTAGGGCGTGTTCAAACAAAGGCGCGTTGTTGAACACTTTGCAAGCCCCCGCAACTGTTGAACACTCTGAGTTTATTGCGGTAGGCTTGCGCGGTGCTGCTGCTCTTCCCCGGCGACCTTGCCTCGCTCTGACCGCACGGTGAGAGAGAGGCGCGACGCACAGACTGCTCTCTGTGCGGGAACCTTTTTCGAGAGAACGGAGAGAGAGACGATACGAGGGAAACATTCCTTCTTTCTATTTTTTTTTTTTCGATTTTAATCTCTTTGCTGGCAGTGTACCGCGAGAGATGCTGCTGCTCCCTTCCCGTTCCGCGGCTGCCGGGCAACCTGCCAGGCCGAGACTCTCGCCGAGACTGCAAGACTTGTTTGTCGAGTCGAGATCTCGAAATGCACCGGCGGCTCCGGCGGCCGCGCTGCCATTGCCAATGTCGCGCGCGAGCGCAGCAGCGCGGCCTTCAACTTGAACGGAGTCGGCGCTGGAGTCAACTGACGTAATATGGTCCACGCTTGGAGTCTGTTGCGGCGATAGTCTCCCCCGCGGATTCAGCTGGAGAGCGGGCTGGCGTCTGGTGTATTCTCCTGGAGTCAGCTAACGTAAGATAGTGGACTGGAGTCTGTTGGAGTCTCCTGTGATGAGTCAGTCAGCTGTGTTAGTGGTGTGGCGTCTATTGAAGTCTCCTGAAGTCAGCTGAGATGGTCGGCTGGATTCTGTTGGAGCAGTCTTGAGGAGTCAGCTGAGGAAGTCCGCTCCAGTCTGTTGGAGTAGTCTCCTGGAATCAGATGAGGTAGTCGGCTGGAATCTGTCGTGGCAGTCTCCTGTAGTCAGCAGCTGGAGTAGTCCGCTGGAGTCTGTAGGAGCAGTGTCCTGGATTCAACTGAGACAGTCAGCTGGCAAAATATTTACAGACTGCCGCGTGAGTCTGTTTGAATCTCGCGATAAAGAAGTTCGCTAGGGTCTATTAAGAGTTTGCTGTTGCCAGCTCATTTAGTCATTTAAAGCTGAAATAATCGGCATGTTTTGCTAGAGTCTGGTATGAAAGTCTGCGCGCGGATGTGGAATGGAAGTTCCCTGAGTTCGCCCAGGGGTCAAGCAGCCGCTGGAAAACTACACTACTACAACAACTTTCGATAGGCGGGGCAGCGGCGGCTGCGTCGTGACGGCGGCGTCGTCTCTTCCGGGCGGATAACGAATCGGAATTAGAATACATGCCGGTAAACACGTCTGTCGGCCTGGGCCAGTTGTTCCTGCTGGATAGCCTGGAGCAGCGAGCCCTCGCGCTCTGGGGCTGGGAATTTTAATTTCCAAAAAATATTTTTTCGGGAGAAATTTTTAAAGATTCTTTTTACATGTCTGAATTTTTTCTTTGAGAGTTTAATTTTTGATTTTTTTTCTGGAAATATTTTTCAGTTTTCTTCATTTTTATTTTCGGGATAAATTTCGGGCTGTAAAGTCCCTAACCTGTAGCCCGCGCTCGGGCGACGGGTCTGTCTGTCCGGCGCTTTATGAAACGTCCATAATAATGACCCCATCGGGAGACTGCAGCTTCCAAAATCATTGCCGAGGAAGAGCCGGCCGGACTATGCGGCCCGC